CTTTGGCTAGGCAGCACCAAATGTGTGACTGTCCCCGAGGAGAGTCAGGAGGGAGGGGGGCTCTGCTGTCTGCACCCCCAGAGTGGAGTTCTGTGCCCTCCTTGGCACTGTACTCACACCACAAGAATGCTGAAGAGTCCGGGGGCTCCCTCACCGCAGGGTCTGAGCATGGGCCCCTCTGGTGTGGCACCAAGAGCCCCTCCATGCTCAGGAGGGTCTGGGACCCTGCAGGGCACCTGGCTGGGAACGCCACTCACCACTGTGTGCTCGGGGGTACCCCAACATCAGAGTCACCTCCTCCCTCTGGGCAGGGCAGTCCCCGTGAGTGCTGCAGCCCCAAGGGCCCCATTCCTGCACACCCACAGCGTGGGGGCAGCAGAGTCCTCAGGGACCCCTTGGTGCCCCCCTTGCTCCCCAGCCCCACTGTGAGCAGCCCCATTTCCAGCTGCCCTGTGTCCTGCCAAGTGTGGGGTGTCCAGCACCCCCTTCTCTGCAAGGCTGGGAGTCCTGGCCGTGTCCCCATCCAGGATGCTCCTGCTGCAGGGATCCCCTTTCCCAGCCGGGGTGCTCCTGCTGCAGGGATCCCCTTTCCCAGCTCCTGGTGCTCGGGGTCTCCGAGCCAGCCCCGGCATTTCCTCACACCCAGCTCCCAGCACAGCAGGGCACGGCCGGGCTGAGAAAGCCAAAAGTGCTGAATTTGAGCCCCGAGTGGAGGCTGTGCCTCCCACAGACTCGGAATGGCCCCTCCAGGAGCTGGCTGTCCCCTGCCATCGGGCCACCACAGGGACAAGGTGCCGCTGTCCCCGCATGCCCCTGGTCCTGCCCTGGCACCCAGCGGCCACGGGGACAGGGGGACACGGGTGGCTTATGCCGCGGGTGGCACAGGAAGGGGACACGGGGGTGTCCCAAGAACGGGGCGGGGGGAGATGCAGTGGCTGTCCCTGTCCCTCACCGGTCACTGCTTTGGGGGTGACAGGGTGACACCTTCCCGGTGCCGCCTGCACCCGGGGCTGGCTCCGTGCCCTGCCCGCGCCTGCTGCCGGTGCCGGGTGATGGGGATGCCGGTTCCGGTGCAGCACCGGAGCCGCTGCCGGTGCCGCCGATGTAGCGGCTGTGCCGTGATGCCGGTGATGGTGCCAGTGCCGGCGCAGCGCTGGCGCTGCTGATGCCGGTGCCGCCGGTGCCTCCGGCGCCGCCGGTGCCGGTCATCACTCCCGCAGTGCGGGGCTGGGGCCGGTGCCAGGTCCTGCCGGTGCGGGGCGGGTTCCCGGGGGCTGCGGGCGGAGCTGGAGCCGGTGCCGGTGCTGGTGCCGGGGGCGGTGCCGCCGGTGCCGGTGCCGGTGCTGCCGGTGCCGGGCGGAGCCCCCGCGGGCTGCGGGCGGTGCCGGCCCCGCCGCGGTATAAAGGGGCCGCACGGGCCGGGCCGGGCGCACAGCGGCGGCGGCGGGTGGGGAGCGGCGGCACCGCCACCGGCACCTCCACGGTGAGTCCCGCTCCCTCCTCCTCCCTCCCGGGCCGCTGCTGCCGGCTCGGGATCCCCCGCGGCGCTGCGAGCCCGGCGGCACCGGAGGCTGCGGGGCCGGGGGTAACGGGAGCCGGGAGCGCCGGGGGCGGCGGGACCGGGGGGAGCCGGGGGCGGCGGGACCGGGGGGAGCCGGAGGGGCTGCCCGGGAGGTGCCGCCGGGGGTCCCTGGGCTGGCTCCGCGCCCCGCACGTGCTCGGGCACCCCGAGCCGCCCGCACCCCCTGCCCGCTCCCGGTGCCTCTCCGCAGTCCCGTCCTGCCCGCGCCGCCCGTCCCGGCCCGCAGCGGGCCGGGGTCTCGCCGCTGCCTCCCCGCAGCCGGGGGTCCCTGCACACGCTCGGGGGGCGCAGGGCTCTGCGCGGCCGCGATTCTCCCGGGGACACCCGGTCCCTGCCATCCCCGTGCCCTTCCCTGTCCTCCAGCCCAGCCATCGCCTGCGAGCGGCCGCGCTCCTGCCTGGGTGAATGGGGGAGCTGGCACCGTGCTCGGTGGGGCACCTGGGCCCCTGCACCTCCCCTGGCACACACACAGCGGGGTGTGGGGCACCCCCGCACCTCCTCTGGCCCCGTGGAAGCACCGCGAAGGTGTCACCCCCAAACAGCGACTGATGAGGGACAGGGTGGCCGTGGGGCAGCAGGGCCACCCCGCTTTTGCGTTCCGGGTGACCTGATGGGGAGGATGTCCCCGTGCCCTGACGGCGCCCCGTGTCCCCCCAGATGCCAGGGAGCCTCTCCACGGCCCTGCGTGTCGTGGGGACCAGCCTCTTCGCCGTGGCGGTGCTGGGGGGCATCCTGGCCGCCTACGTCACAGGGTACCAGTTCATCCACACGGAGAAGCACTACCTCTCCTTCGGCCTCTACGGGGCCATCCTGGGGCTGCACCTCTTCATCCAGAGCCTCTTCGCCTTCCTGGAGCACCGGCGCATGCGGGGCGAGGGGCAGCCGGTGCGGCCGGGGCGCTCCGTGGCCCTGTGCATCGCCGCCTTCCAGGAGGACCCCGACTACCTGACCAAGTGCCTACGCTCCGTCAAGCGCATCGCCTTCCCCGACCTCAAAGTGGTGATGGTGGTGGACGGCAACGGCCCCGACGACACCTACATGCTGGACATCTTCCACGACGTGATGGGCTCCGAGCGCTGCGGCAGCTACATCTGGAGGAGCAACTTCCACGCCTGGGGCGAGGGGGAGACGGAGGCCGGGCTGCGGGAAGGGCTGGCCCGAGTTCAGGCGCTGGTCCGCAGCAACACCTACTCCTGCATCCTGCAGAAGTGGGGCGGGAAGCGCGAGGTGATGTACACGGCCTTCCGGGCGCTCGGAGACTCCGTGGACTATATCCAGGTGCGTGCATGGGCTGGGGGGTGTGGGCAGTGGGCGTCCTGGGCACGGGGGCTGTGGGTGCAGTGGGAGCGGCCCCGGGAACCCCCAGTGCTGGATCTGGCCCCATGCACAGCCCTAGAGCCACCAGGCTGGGGGCTGCTGGCTCTGGGGTGGCTGAGGTGTTGACTGCTGCCCACACTGCTGCCCGTGGGTGTCCCATCAGCTCCTCCTCAGCACATGGCCTGCTGTGGTGTCATCCCGTGGGACAGTGTGGCACGGGGTGCAAGGTCCCCACACGTGGTGGCAGGGACGGGTCTTCCCTCGGTGCCAGCAGCCAGAGATGGGTGTCCTGGGCAGCGGTGCCCCGGTACCGCTGGCTGCTCCGCTCCCCTCCACCGCCTGCCGGTCTGCGGGGCTCTGCCCGGTCTCGCCGTCCGTGGCTCAGGCTTGCCTGGCTGTGGGCTGGGCTGTCTGCCGGGCGCGCGTGGGCGGCGGGAGCGGGGCTCGACGTTCCCTCTGCCCCCAGGTGTGTGACTCAGACACCGTGCTGGACCCCGCCTGCACCGCCGAGATGCTCCGCATCCTGGAGGCCGACCCCCACGTCGGCGGCGTCGGCGGCGATGTCCAGGTACCCCGGCGTAGGGAGGGCAGGGCTGGGGCCCAGGGGCTGCAGCGCTGCCGGGGCTCACGTCCGTCCCCTCCCCAGATCCTGAACAAGTACGACTCGTGGCTGTCCTTCCTGAGCAGCGTGCGGTACTGGATGGCCTTCAACGTGGAGCGCGCGTGCCAGTCGTACTTCGGGTGCGTGCAGTGCATCAGCGGCCCCCTGGGCATGTACCGCAACGCGCTGCTGCAGCAGTTCCTCGAGGACTGGTACCACCAGACCTTCCTGGGCAGCAAGTGCAGCTTCGGCGACGACCGGCACCTCACCAACCGCGTGCTCAGCCTGGGCTACCGCACCAAGTACACGGCTCGCTCCAAGTGCCTGACGGAGACGCCCACGCGCTACCTGCGCTGGCTCAACCAGCAGACCCGCTGGAGCAAGTCCTACTTCCGCGAGTGGCTCTACAACGCGCTCTGGTTCCACAAGCACCACCTCTGGATGACCTACGAGTCGGTGGTCACCGGCTTCTTCCCCTTCTTCCTCATCGCCACCGTCATCCAGCTCTTCTACCGCGGCCGCGTCTGGAACATCCTCCTGTTCCTGCTGACGGTGCAGCTGGTGGGCGTCATCAAGGCCACCTACGCCTGCTTCCTGCGCGGCAGCGCCGAGATGATCTTCATGTCCCTCTACGCCCTCCTCTACATGTCCAGCCTGCTGCCCGCCAAAATCTTCGCCATTGCCACCATCAACAAGTCGGGCTGGGGCACCTCGGGGCGCCGCACCATCGTGGTGAACTTCGTGGGGCTGCTGCCGGTGTCGGTGTGGGTGGCGGTGCTGCTGGGCGGGCTGGCCTACACCGCCTACAGCCAGGACCTCTTCAGCGAGACCGAGGTGGCCTTCCTCGTCTCGGGTGCCATTCTCTACGCCTGCTACTGGGTGGCCCTGCTCACCCTCTACCTGGCCATCGTTGCCCGCCGCTGCGGCAAGAGGCAGGAGCAGTGTGGGCTGGTCTTCACTGAGGTCTGACCGTGGGGTGATCCCCGGTGCCACGGCCATCCAATGTGTCAGGGTAGCCACCGCCGTCCCCTCTTGCCCATCCCGGAACCACCAGGTGCTGGGGTGATCCCACGTGCTGGAGTGAACACCCCCAGACCCCTTTTTCCCAATCCCGGAGCTGCTGGGCAGCGCTGAGCGCTCCCAACCCTTGGCGTTTCTCATCAGATCTTGAAATCTTGCTTTTATTCTTAATTAAGGTGCAAACTTTTCCTATACTTTCCTTTTTCCATCCCAAGCTGGCCACGGAGAAGCCGAGCCAGGGCTGCCCATCACCCAGCCAGGTGCTGCCAGCGACATCCCAGCTGTGCCCTATGGAGCATCCCGGTGTGGAGCGCTGCTGGCCGCGCTCCCACGCCCCATTCCAGAACCTTCCACCCCTCGGTGCTTTTACAGGGATTCCAGTCCCTCCTCCGTGGTGCTAGAGCACTCCCCACCCCAGGACACCCGGCGTGCCAGCCCTGCTGGCCGCGCTGCCTCTGCCCCACGGCTGCGTGCGGGCGCGTACCCACGGGCAGCCGCCAGGCCTCTCGGGGGTCTGGCTGCTCCAGGAGGGCAGCAGGTTCCTTCAGCTTTGCCAAAGAGCCAAGGGGGGATCCTGGCATGGAGACTGGGAAATCTGGGGGGCTGTGTGCCGGCCGGGGCGTTGCTGGAGACCCTTTGGGGCCGTGTCCTGCTCTGGCCACCCCACGGCCCCGTCACTCCCACCCCAAAACCTTCCCAGCAGTGGGGAGATGGGGATTTAGGCAAGGTGCTTCCCAACTGTCCCCTCCCCAGGGAATTCACCTGTGGGTCCTTTTTTCAGGACTTGGATAAAAAACCCTTTCTATGACGGAGCTTTTAGCTGTTTTTTGTTTAATTTAATACAAGGTTTTTTAGAAGACTTTTGTAGCTCTTTGGTATTGTCGCAGATGGTTTGTAAATCTATTTATTTTTGAACCTGCCAGGGGAATTTTTTTCCATATTTCGGGTGGAAAAGGCTGGTTTTTATATCCTGACAGAGTTGTGGAAATAAAGACTTGAACTGAGGACGCATGGTGTGTTTTGGGGAGGGTCCCTGAGCTCCCTGCCCGACTTGAGGGAGGCTGGTGCTGAGTCCCTGCGTGGCACTGGTGTCCCCACAGCTGCAGGGAGGGGGTGGAAGGAGACATCTCCACTCTGGCACCTCCATGGATCCCTGGGATCTTCTGCTCACTGTGGGCAGCCCCAGGGTGGGACACCCCTGCCCAGCTCACAGGAAGTCCCTACCTGCCAGGAGCCATGGCCCCGGGGTGATCCATGGGGTCTGTGGCCAAGAGCTTGGGTGCCCTCTGAAAAGAGTCACTTTGGGGGGGACAAGTGACCCAGACACAGGACCCAGCAGTGCCAGTGTCCCCTGTGCAGGACAGGGATGAGGTCCTGGATCTCCCCAAGTCCCTGCTGCTTTTTCCAGCAGCAGATCAGAGTTTGTAGCCCCCATCCTTCCCCTCAGACCTTCTTGGGCACGTGGGTGATGATGGGCTTGGGGCGGGTTTTGAAGAGCAGTTTGGTTTTGATGAGGGCAGTAACGGTGTAGTGGCCATGGGGCTCCCCGGGGCTGGGCTGGGAGGCTCCTCCCTGCTTCACCAGCACAGCAAACGGCTTCTCCAGCTGCACCACCTTCCCGTAGAGGATGTGGTGCCCCACGATGAGCACAGGGACGCCCTGGGGAGAGCGGAGGGTGAGGCTGGGCTGGGCTATCCCCGGCAGGTCCCGGCGGTGTCCAGCCTCACCTCACAGGTGTAGTGCAGGTCTCCCAGCAGGCTCCCGGCCAGGTCCCCGCTCTGCCGGGGCTCCACCTCGCCCTGCAGCTCCAGCAGCACCCACTGTGCCAGGGCCCCGGTGCCAGCGCTGGGGAGACATGGGGAGAGTTACCTGGGCACCAGCGGGCACAGGGACCAGGGGACATGGGAACCCTTGGGGCTCACCTGGAGATGACGATCTGCACCATGCTGGACCCTGCAGAGACATGGTCAGGACAGGGCAGCGGGGAGGGGAGCAGGAGCCCCTCTGAGGGGATGAACTTGCACCCCCGGGCCCCACAGATCCCCCATTCACAGTCCCATTCTGGGCCCACAGAACCCCCATGCACAGTCCCCGTTCTGGGCCCACAGATCCCCCATGCACAGTCCCCGTTCTGGGCCCACAGATCCTGAGATCCACCCCCCCGGACCCCATAGAATGTTCCCAGGCCCTCCAGGCCCCAAGGTCCCCTCAGACCCCCAGATCCAGCCCCAGCACCCGCACTCGCCATGCCCAGAGCCCAGAGCCGCCCAGGCCCTTCCCGTCCCCGAGACCCCCAGAAACCGCCCCCCAGGCCCAGACCCCCCTGCGGGCCCTGCAGCCTCCCCCAGACCCTTAGGCCCGGATCCCTCCCGGGGGCCCTGTGCCCCCCCCTGCCGCCGCCCGGTCCCGCGGGGCGCTGGTGCCCTCCAGCGGCGCCGGTGCGGCGGGCACGGCCCCGGGCGGCCCGGCCGGGTCTCCCGGGCCCGGGTCCCTCCCGCCCGCACGGTGCGCTCGCCCCGCGCCGCGCCCCGGCCCCGCCGCCCCGGCCCCGCTCCCGCACCCGCCGCCGGCCCCGCACGAATCTCCCGCCGCGCCGCCGCCGCTTCCGCTTCCGGTTCGGCGCGGCCCCGGGGCAGCTCCGGTTCCGGCGCGCCGCGCGCACGTGGGGCGGAGCGGGAGCGGAGCGGGAGCGGAGCCGGGGCCGGCGGAGCGCCATGGGCGAGTTCGAGGTGCACCGGGTGCGCTTCTTCGGGCTGGTGCCGGCGGGCGTGCGCTGCCTCGCCTGCCACCCGCGCGGCTCCCGCCTGGCCCTGGCCCGCACCGACGGCGCCGTCGAGGTGTACAACTTCGCCGCCAACTACTTCCAGGAGAAGGTGAGGCCGCCGGTACGGGCCGTACCGGGATGTACTGAGGCGTACCGGGCTTTACCGAGCTTGTACCGGGCTCGTACCGAGCCCGTACGGGGCTTGCTTGGTCCTTCGGTCGGCACCGAGCCTGTGCTGGGCCTGTACCGAGCCCAGCCGGGCCGTGTCCAGCCGGGACCAGGCTTTAGAGATCCGCACCGAGGCTGTACCGGGCCTGTGTCGAGCCTCACCGGGCCTGTACCGGGGCTGTGTCGAGCCCCACCGGGGCTGTACCGGGCGTTATCTGGCCCTGCCGATGCGTACCGGGTGGTACCGGGCGGTCCCGGTGCCGCGGCGTGACCCGGTCCCTGCGCAGGTGATCCCCGGGCACGAGGCGCGGTCGGTGGAGTCGCTGTGCTGGGCGGCCGGGGACCGGCTCTTCGGGGCCGGGCTCGGCGGGGACATCACCGAGTACGACCTGGCCGCGCTGAGCGCGGCCCGCGGCCTGGATGGCGGCGGGGGACCCATCTGGAGCATGGTGGCCAACAGCAGCGGCACCCAGCTGGCGGTGAGTCCCGCCGGGAGCGGCACCGGGGCCGCGGGGAGGGGGTCCCGCTGAGGCCCGCGCTGATCCCAGCCCCCGCAGATCGGCTGCGAGGACGGCTCTGTCAAGATCTTCCAAGTGGTTCCTGGCGGGATCCAGTTCGAGCGGAACCTGGACAGGCGGAAAGGTGGGTCCTGGCTGCAGCACCGTCCCTGTGTCCCTCCGGGTGTCCCGGTGACCGTGGGGCTGTGACCCACGGGCTGTCACACGGAGCTTCTCTTCCTCCCCAGGCCGTGTCCTGTGCCTGTCCTGGCACCCCTTGGACACTCACATCGTGGCTGGCTCCATCGACTTCTTCCGTGTGATTGACGTCGCTTCAGGTACCTCCTGTCCCACAGCAGCCCTATGCCATCCCATCCCATCCCATCCCTCGGGACCACTTGCACCCACCGTGCCCCTGGGGATCCCCCGGCCTCCCCCATCCTTCCCCCACTGCAGGCCAGACGATGCAGAGGATCATGGTGAACCACCACGTGGAGAAGGCCAAGCGCGAGTGCGTGGTGTGGGCCATCGCCCTCCTGTCCAGCGGCACCGTGGTCAGCGCCGACTCCTTTGGGAGGGTGCAGTTCTGGGACTGGGAGCAGGGCACGCTGGCAGAGTCCCACACCGTCAGCACATCGGCCGTGCTCTCGCTGGCCGTGTCACAGGTGGGTGACCCCCCCAGGTCCCCCTGGCCGTGTCACAGGTGGGTGACACCCACAGATCCACCCTGTCCTGGCTGACAGGGAGCAGGAGCTGCTGCACTCTGCCTCCTGGCAGTGCCCTCTTGCTGTTCCCAGCCTGCTCCCACAGCCCCGTTTCCCTCCGCAGAAGGAGGACAGCATGATCGTGGGCACCTCCACCGGGGCCACCTACCACCTGCAGCTGCTGCCCGTGAGGCTGGGCGGGCTGGAGAAGCGCTGGGTGCGCACCAAGCCCTTCCAGTTCCACAGCCACGACGTGCGGGCCGTGGCACACAGCCCCACCGCCCTCATCTCCGGGGGTACGGCTGCCGGGGGCACCGGGGCTGGGCAGGCTCTGCCCTCCCGGTACCGGCTGGCTGATCTGTGCTTGCCTTGCAGGCCTGGACGCCCAGCTGGTGATCCGCCCGCTGATGGAGAAGGTGCAGAAGAAAAACTACGATGCAGTGCTCCGAAAATTCACCTTCCCCCACGTGAGTAGTGTTTTGGAGCTGCTGGGGCTGGCAGGGCTGGATCTCCCTGCCCCTCCGGTGCCCTCGTTGCCCTGCCAGGGTTCCTTCCCTGTGCCTGGCTCCCTCCTCTGCCCCTGGCTCCCTCGTCTGCCCCGTTGTGTCTCCTTTCCTGGTGCATCTGGAGGCTCTGCCAAGGAGCAGTGCAAGTTGTCAAGCTGGTCTTGCTGGTCCTGCTGGGTCTCCATCTCCAGGCTCCCGTCCCACGGACCTGATTTCCCTGCTCTCCCCCGCTCGGAGTCACCAGCACCGCAGGGCATTCCGGCTGTGCCCCAGCCCGTTGTGCCAGGCTCTGTGTCCCTGACATCCTGCCTGTTTTTCCACGCAGCGCCGCCTCGTCTCCTGCGCCAGGAAAGCCCGGCTGCTCCTCTTCCAGTTCTCCCAGTACCTGGAGCTCTGGAGACTTGGCTCCACTGAGGAGACCGGTGAGTCACAGGTGCAGCTCTCGGGTGTCAGCTCCCTGGCAGAGCTCGGGCTGCCAGCAGGATTTTGGGAAGGGTCTGGGCACTCCCTGAGGATCCCCAGCTGCTCAGAGAGCCCCGTGTGGTTTCCCCACTCTCACTGGTGGTCCGTGTGGTTCCATTCCCAGGAAAGGACGGCGAGGTCCTTCCCCTGTGCCGGATGCCCGAGCACCTGGTGCAGCTCAAGAGCAAGGTAGGGCTGAGCGGGCTGGGGTGCCCCTGGGGCAGCTGAGGGGTGTGTGCTGAGCTCTGGGGGTTCCTCGGGCCCCCCTGAGCCCCTCTGGGTGTCCCCAGGGCCCGGAGCACATCTACTGCAGCTGCGTCTCGCCCTGCGGCACCTGGCTGGGCTACTCCACGGCCTCGCGCTTCCAGCTGTACCGCGTGCGCTGCGACGGGGACGGCGTCAGCCTCAGGAAGGTCAGGGGATGGGGGGCTGGGGGGGCTGGCCTGGCCACCGTCACTCGTGGGCATGTGGGTGGCGGCGGGCTGGCTGCCAGAGCTGCGTTCTCCCCGCTGCCAGGTCCCCAAGGTGCCCAAGCTGCTGCCCCCGGCCTACCAGCTCCAGTTCTCCGCCGACTCCCAGAGCCTCTTCGTGGCCTCCGCCCGAGGGTCTGTGCACGTCTTCCAGCTGCTGGAGCCGGGGGGCTGCAAACACCTGCACACCCTGCGGCCGCCCTCAGGTGGGCTGGGGAGAGCTGGGCTGGGGCTGGATGTTCATGGGCTCTGCATCCCCCAACCCTGCGGGGGCAGAGGGGTGTCCCCCTTTCCTGCCCTCAGGGGCGTGGGAGTCCATCCTGGGGGTGTTTGTGCCCTCGTGCCTGGCACTGGGCAGTCAGGGGGACGTGGGGCTGGGTGTCTCTGGGGTTTGGGGCTCACAGCACCCCTCTGAGCCCCAGGCTCTCTGCAGGCTGCTCCGAGGCCGTTTACCTGCTGGCACCGAGCGCCGACGGGCACTGGCTGGCAGCCGTCAGTGGAGACTGGGCCATCCACATCTACAACCTGAAATGCTTCAAGGTGGGCCTGGGAGTGACCCCCCAGCCTCAGGGGACACGGGATGGGGGACTTAGCAGGCACTGCCCCCCTGGGAGCCATCACTGCATCCCTGGAGCAGGGCTGGGGTGGCTGTGGTGTGGGAAAGGGGGTCAGAGGCAGTCCTGGAGGTTCTGGTCAGGGTGGGTGTGTGGGAGAGCTGTCAGCCTGGCCCTGGCGGGTCACATCAGTGCACTGTCCCCTCCTGCAGCATCACTGCGTGGTGCCCAACTATGACTGCGCCGTATCTGCCCTCGCCATCCACCCCAGCACCAACAACCTCGTCATTGCCTACTCAGACCAGCAGGTAGGAGCTCTGCTAGCCGAGCTCTCGTGCCCTGCTCCCTTCCCTGTGCCTGTGTCCCTGCCGTCAGGGCTGTCAGGCTCAGCTCAGGGCACTGCCTGGAGGTGCTGGCAGGAGCAGACAGCCCTGAGCGTGTCCCCGCTGTGCTCCTGCAGCTGTTTGAGTTCAGCATCCCCGAGAAGCAGTACACGAGCTGGAGCCGCGCCGTGCAGAGCCGGGGGCTGCACCGCGCCTGGCTGGAGCGGGACTCGCCCATCACCCACATCACCTTCAACCCCAAGAACCCCTCTCACATCCTGCTCCACGACACCTACCTGCTCTGCGTGCTCGACAAGTCCCTGGTGAGCGGGTGGAAGGGAGGGAGGGAGGGCCGGGGTGCCCGGTGCTCCTGCAGAGCCTGACCTACGCTGTGCCCGCTGCCCTCCCGCAGCCCCTGCCCGACGACAGCGCCCTCCTGATGAACCAGAGCACCCTCAAACAGCTCCCAGAGACCGCCAGGAAGAGGCAGCTCCATGCCTTCAAGATCTGCAAGAAGTTCCAGGTGGGTGATGGTGTTGGGGAGCGGGGTCAGGGAGGTGCTCAGCTCTGGAGTGGGACTGGGAACAAAAGGGTGTGGACAGGACTGGGAACAAGGGTATGGACAGGACACAGGGAATGGCTTCCCCCTGCCAGAGGGTTAGATGGGATAGTGGGATGGAATTGTTCCCCGGCAGGGTGGGCAGGCCCTGGCACAGGGTGCCCAGAGCAGCTGTGGCTGCCCCTGATCCCTGGCAGTGCCCAAGACCAGGCTGGGCAGGACTTGGAGCAACCTGGGACAGTGGGAGGTGTCCCTGCCCATGGCAAGGGGTGGAACGAGATTCCTTTAAGGTCCCTTCCACCCCAAACCCTTCCCTGCTTCCATGATTCCCATCTCCTGCCTTGCAGCCACTGCTCTTCATGGATCTGCTGGACAAGAACTGCCTGGTTGTGGTGGAGCGACCCATCATGGACTTCAAAACCCAGCTGCCTCTGCCTGTCCAACAGAAGAAGTTTGGCACCTGAGAGCAGAAGAAGCCACTCCAACCTTGGGAACTGTCTCTGTGCTGCCTTCCTGGGGCACTGTAAGAATTTTCTTAAGGTGCTTTAGGAATAAAACCTCACTGTTGTGTACATGCCCAGGCTCAGGGCTCATTCCTGCTGTCACACCACCATCATGTCATCATGATTTTCATATCCTTCCAGTTCTCCTTCCTGGGGTGCGGGGACAAGGTGGCACTCCAAATTCCATCCCTTTTCGCTCACAGTGTCTAATGCCAGTGTTGGCTTCTGTCTCCCCGGTGATCGTGTGGGTCCGTGGGTGCTGCGTGGGGCCAGGCAGCCTCATTCACTAAGGACGGGGGTCTGGGGGTGTTGCGTGGGGCAGGGAAGCGTCATTCCCCGAGGATGGAGAGAGGGAAATCGGGGATCCCCGGAGAACACGGCAGATTTAAAGCGCAGCTCGTGAAATAAATCGCAGCGCGCCAAACAAATCTCAGCGCCAGACATGGCGTGCGGGGGCGTGGCTTCTTAGGCCCCGCCTTCCAGCACAACCAATCACAGCAGCGGCGGCTTAGCCGCCACCTCTCTGATTGGTGGCTGCGGCAGTGGAGGCGGGGCCGCCCCACCCCGTCCTCCCGCGCCCCCGAGCCTACCGCAGCGCGCCATGCGGGCGGGGGCGGGGCCGAAAACCGCGCCCTCCGCCAGGCCCCGCCCCTTTCCCGGTGACCGGCGGCGGCGGCGGCGGCGGCGGCATGGCCGTGTGGACCCGGGCTTGTAAAACGGGGCTGCTGGAGCTGCTCCTGCGGGAGCGCTGGGTCCGCGTGTCCGCGGAACTGACCGGGGAAACGCTAAGCTTAACGGCGGAACCGGGCACCGGCGATCCGTCGGTGGTGAACGGCGTGGTGAACGGCAACGCGGAGGCGGCGGCACCCGGTGGCGTGAGGAGGGTGCGGGTGGTGAAAGCGGAGGCGGGAGGGCTCGGGATCAGCATTAAGGGAGGTCGGGAGAATCGGATGCCGGTGCTGATCTCACGGATCTTCCCGGGATTGGCGGCGGAAAGGAGCGGAGCGCTCCGGTTAGGCGACGCCATCCTCGCTGTTAACGGCGTCGATCTCCGCGATGCCACCCACGATCAAGCTGTGCAGGCGCTGAAGAGAGCCGGGAGGGAGGTCATCCTTGAAGGTAACGCCTCAACCCCTTCCTCTCCCCCGAATCCCCGGTACGGGCCCCCGGTGCTCTCCTGTCCCCCGTCCCGGTGCTCCCCCGCCGTTACCGGCTCCCACCACACCTCCCTGCCGCTGTCCCCGGACTCCCGGCCCGCCTTTGGGTCCCTTTTCCGGGTGTGGGACGCCACTCCCCCGCCCAGTGCTGGCGCATTTCTGTATCCCCCCAAAGCCACGGGGGCCCCCAGCATGGGGACAGGCACTGCGGTGTCCCCCCGGCTCGGGCTGTTCCCTCTGTGGCAGGCTGGGGACCCCTCACAGCTGGGGACAAGGACAGGGTTGTGATCACTGGTTGTGTTCCTCCAGGACAGATTTGGGTCCCTCAGAGACAGACCTGGGGTCCCCCAGGACGGACTTGTTGTCCCCTGGCTGTGGTGTCCCCCCGAACAGGTTGTCCCCTGTCCTCGGTGACAATGCCCGGCTGGCTGGGTGTCCCCAGGGAGGGCTGTGACCCGGGCCGTTGGTCAGGCTCTGTCCCCGTCCCTGTCCCTGTCCCTGCGGCTCAGCCCCCGCGGGCTCGGTGTCCCCGGGCCCTGTGCCCGGAGCCGGCTCGGGGCTGGCCCGGCAGAGCCACCGGCTCCTGCCCGACCTGTTCCCGGCAGCCCGACAAGCTCGGGCAGGACCTGCCCAGCCCGGTGGGGCGGCACGGGGCTCGTGCCAGGGGGCACCGCGAGGCCACCGGTGCCGTGGGTCGGGGTGGGCTGTGCCACAGTGCTGCGGTGCCACACACACCGTCCTGGTGTCCTGGCGCGTCCGTCTGTCCCCCGCTGCGTGGGGCTGCTCCGTGGGCACGGTGCCCGTTGGGTACAGGGACGGTGCTGCTGCCTTGCCACACGCCCCTGGCACACTGCAGTGGCTGAGGGGACACGGCTTGGCTCCTGGTGAGGGCACAGCCGGCTCGAGGTGCTTGGGCACGGCTGGGGCGCCACAGCAGGGTCAGGCTTGGTGCTGTGTTTGGGGCTGCTGTTGGACACAGCGAGGGTCCCCACGGGACCCTGCACCCGGCTCAGCCCGTCCTTCCTCCTGCTGCCCAGCCGTTTGATCCTGTCCCACAGGAGCTCCAGCCCTGTGCTCTGTTTGTCCCTCGCTTCCGCCACAGGCACGGGTGCTGTGGCTGACACCTCTTCCTTTCCCTTCCTTTCTCTCTTTCCTTTCCCTTCCTTTCTCTCTTCTCCTTTCCCTTCCTTTCCCTTCCTTTCCCTCCCTTTCCCTGGGCACAGCTGCTCCGTGGCTCTGGTGGGACCATCCCGTGCCCAGCTGCTCTCAGCAGAGCCCGCAGAGAAGCTGCTGGGGGACACTGGCCGTGCCACCCAGCCCATCCCTCCTCACAGCCTGGAGCTGTGACCACCCTGGCAGGTGCCAGAGCTTCTCCCGGGCTCCGTGCCAGTGCTGGAGGGGAAACCATCAGCCCTGCACGGCATCTCCGTGGGGTTTGTGTCACCCATGCTGGGGGCTGGGCTGGCCTCGGGGCCCACGCCAAGCACCACAGGCCCTGGGGGAAGGGAGCCCTTCCGCCCTGCATGGAGCTGTGGGTGCAGCGCAGACCCCGGGCACTGCCAGGGGCACAAGCCTGGGAAAGCTGGCGGTGTTCCCTGCTGGTTGCAGGAGCTCAGTGAGCCCCGGTGAGCCCCGGTGAGCCCGGTGTGCAGCTGGCACTGCCGTGGTGCAGCCGGAGCTGCCGCCTTCCTGCGGCGGGACAGGCCAGGGGTGCAGGCACAGCTGGGCTTCCTCTGCGGTGAGCGTGGGTGGGGCGGCAGCGCCTGTGCCGGGGGTGGTGCTGGCCCTGCCAGGGCAGCTCTGTGCTGGTCGCAGCCTCAGCACAAGCAGGAGGGGGGATTGCAGGTGCCCCCAGCTCTGGCACAAGGTGCTCCGTGTCCTGCCTGCACCTGGATGCGTCCCACTGAAACCAGAGCCAGTTCTGCTGCCCCACCATGGGCACACACAGCGCTGGTCACCACGGGGCACCCACACTCCTCTGGCAGCGCCCTGGCACAGCTCTCAGGCTCCAGGGCTGCTGCCCGCCCAGCCCGGCCTCACCCTCCTGCCTGCCCCGGGTCGGTGCCTGCCCCGCAGGGTCGCCGTGAGCTGCAGCCCCGCGTGCTGAGCTCCCTCCCCGCGCTGCAGGCAGCTGCCCACATCTGGCAAACATCTGCCGAGCGGCCCCGCGGCGGGAGCTGCGCTGCTGCCCGGCGCTCCCCGCCCGGCCGCAGCGGGATTAGGGGTGTGGGACGCGGTAATCCCGGGATCAGCGCGCCGGCAGCAGCTAATATTAACTCCTGTGCTGCCCGCAGCAAGGGCAAGCTCCTCGCGGCTCAGCAGGGCCGGTGGAAGGCGGGGGCCGGTGTCTCCTGCCCGGTTCCATCCCTGCCGCCCCTGCCTTGCTCGCAGCCCCGCAGGGAAGCGTTGGCAGCAGCGCAGCCTGGGCCCCACCGGCGGTGTCGCTCCCCCTCCGGAGGGCCTGGCTGTGGCACTGTGCCGGCTCCAGGATCCTTTCAGCCCTGGTTTCCCGGTGCTGAGCAGCCCATTTGCTGTTGGGTTTGGTTTTCCCTCTCGCTGCCCCATCCCTGTCCCCGGCGCAGAGCCGGGCCGGGCGGGGGCCCAGGGCTGCTGTCAGCAGGGCGGTGCTGGGCTGGGGCGCTCCGGGGGGAGCAGGGGCTGAGCTGCTGCCTCCTTCCTTCCTTCCCGGCCTGGAGAGGCGCGGGGAGCCGCGATGGCTTGGCTGCACACCCTGCTCCTCCGGCCCGGCATCGCCGGCAGCGCTGGAAACTTGGCGGGCACAGCCCTGGCTGGGCAGGATGGCCCAGGATGGGCTGCAGCCTGACCTCCCGCCCGGCACCATTGTCCTGTGGCGCCTTCCCCTTCCTACAGCCGCGCCGGCGGCGGGATGGATGAGCTGTCACCCCGTCCTTCACTCGGGACATCCCTGACCCGGACAGGGTGGGACCCCCCGAGCCTTGCTGTGGGAGGGTCACATTGTCCTATATCAGACCGACCCCGGGGCACAGGGCCGTGGTGTGGGGTGCAGGACCCTCCCGGGCCTGACTGCGCCCCCTCCCCACAGTGAAGTTCATGCGGGAGGTGACGCCCTACATCAAGAAGCCGTCGCTGGTGTCAGACCTGCCCTGGGAGGGGGCGGCCCCGCAGTCCCCCAGCCTGAGTGGCAGCGAGGACTCGGGGTCCCCCCAGCACCAGGGCCCCCGTGACCGCAAGGTGATCCCCCTCAAGATGTGCTTTGCTGCCCGGAACCTCAGCATGCCTGACCTGGAGAACAGGTGAGGGCAGGGGCTGCCGGTGGGGGGACCCTGCTCCCCAGAGACCCCCAGGACAGGACTGGGTCTGCTCAGTGCCAGTGTGAGGGACTCTGCACCCCATGGGCACCCTGGGCACAGCTGGGGCTGCCCCTCGCTGAGGCCATGAGCCCTGCTTCGCCCCCTGAGCTGTGGAACAACACTCCAGATGGTTTAGGGGGGCCAGGGCTATGCCAAGTTCCCTCTCAGCCCCCTGGCAGCCCCTCTGCCTTAAAAAATGAGGGCTGAAAGCTCTGGCAGGTGGAAACGCAGAAGCCCCACACCAGTGCAGCCAGTTTGCAGTGCAGGGCCCAGGCAGTGCTGCTGTCCCACCCTGGGCCCTGTCCCCATTGCACCCTGGGCCCTGTCCCTGTCCCACTCTGGCCCTGTTCCCATCCCACCCTGGCCCCGTCCCCGTCCCACTCTGGGCCATGTCCCTGTCCCACCCTGTCCCTGTCCCACCCTGGGCCTGTCCCTGTCCCCGCAGGCTGATCGAGCTGCACTCCCCGGACAGCCGGAACACGCTGGTGCTGCGCTGCCGGGACACAGCCACGGCGCACGCCTGGTTCAGCGCCCTGCACGCCAACATCACCGCGCTGCTGCCCCAGGTGCTGGCCGAGCTCAACGCCACGCTGGGCTCCGGCAGCCCCACGGCCGGGGGCCGGGAGGTGAAGCACATCGCCTGGCTGGCCGAGCAGGTACCGCTGATGGGGTGTGCCAGGGGGCTGCCAGGGACAGCAGTGCCAGGGATGTGCCAGGGGGCTGCCAGGGACAGCAGTGCCAGTGGGATGTGCCAAGGATGCCACCGGGGCTGTGGGTGCAGCCAGAGAGCCCGGCTGGGGCTCTGGCTCTGCTGCTCTCCCATCCAGCTGTGCCCCGGTGGTGGCAGCATTTCCTGTGCCCTCAGCCCCTTCTCCTGCTGGGAATTTACAGATGGAACCCCTCATCACACCCTCCCTATGCCCTGAATTCACTGCCTGAGAGCTGCAGCCAGCCTGGCAGTGTGGTGGGCAGGACCCCTGGTTTCCAGGATGGCAAACCAGGGGGATGTGGGACTGGGGATGTGGGTCGGGACTCTGGCTCTCACTGCTCTCTGTGCCCATCCCTGTGGGTGCTGTGGATGCTGCCTGGCAATGAGCAACCGCTGCTCTGGGCTCCATCTGCCCGTGGGCTCAGGGCTGGGTGCCGGGGCTGTGGTTCCCCCTCACGGTGCCCGGTGCCCGGCAGGCGCGGCTGGACGGCGGGCGGCAGCAGTGGCGGCCGGTGCTCATGGCGGTGACGGAGAAGGACCTGCTGCTCTACGATGGCATGCCCTGGACCAGGGACGCCTGGGCCTCGCCCTGCCACAGCTACCCGCTGGTGGCCACCAGGTGAGCCGGGCTGGGGGCCGTGCCTGCGCCTCGGGGCAGGGACGCAGCGCCAGAACGCCCGTGGGGTGACGCGGTGCCAGCCCCTGACCCACCCCGGCCGTGCCCTCCCCTCCAGGCTGGTGCACTCCGGCTCCGGGCGCCGCTCGCCCGCGCTGGGCTCGGAGCTGACGTTCGCCACGCGCACGGGCTCGCGCCAGGGCGTGGAGATGCACGTGTTCCGCGTGGAGACGCACCGCGACCTGTCGGCCTGGACGCGCGTCCTGGTGCAGGGCTGCCACGCCGCCGCCGAGCTCATCAAGGAGGTGACCGTGGGTGAGTGCCGCGGTGCTGGGCCCCCACGGCTGTCCCCACTGTCCCCAGGCCCCCCCGGGGCTGACGGCAGCGGCTGTGCCCGCAGGCTGCACGCTGGGCGGGCAGGAGGTGCAGCTCTCCATCCACTACGAGGGCGGCTTCACCATCTCCCGGGACGAGCCGGGCTCCTGCGTGCTCTTCCGCTACCCCTACGAGCGCCTGAAGATGTCTGCGGATGACGGCATCAGGACCCTCTACCTGGATTTCGGGGGCCCTGAGGGCGAGCTGGTGAGGAGGGGGCAGCAGGGCTGACCCCTGGTTTGGGGGACCCGCTGCTTCCTCCTGCTTTCCCCATCCCTGCACATCCCAGCTGCCCACACCCGCTGGCTTTGGCTGACTGGAGCCCCCGGCCCTGCAGTCCCCGGTGGGATGTGGGGGCTGACACCCCTCTCCATCTCTCCCCAGGCGCTGGACCTGCACTCCTGCCCCAAGCCCATCGTCTTCGTGCTGCACACCTTCCTGTCGGCCAAAGTCACCCGCATGGGGCTGCTGGCATAGGTGCCCCAGCCCCCTCGCCCTGTCACCACCAGCTGGGGGTCACGGAGGGCCCCCCAACCTCTCGTGCCCCATCGGTGCCTTGCTGGGACTGGGATCGCTGCCCTGAGAGCGCAGGAGGCTGCGGGGCTGAGCCGCTCCTGCCCCACGGCTGCGGGGCTGAGCCCCTCCTGCCCCACGGCTGCGGGGCTGAGCCCCTCCTGCCCCACGGCAGTGCTGCCCGGGGGCTCGGGTCACTCACACCAGCTTTAATCCCCCCGGGGCTGAAGCCATCGCTGATCTCACCGCCTGTGCCTTGGAGCGGAGCCAGCCCGGCCCCCCCGCCCGGGGGTCTCCTGGTGCCCCCCGCTCACCTCCAGGGGAACCGGCGTCCCCCTGCCTTGGGGCGTCCCCCAAAGAGGTCACATTGTCCCCATATGGGGCAGGGCTGGGGATGTGGGACCCGCCCATTGCTGCATGACAGGGTCCCCACGCCCTGCTCAGGGTGAGGGGACACATTTGTCCTACAGGGGGCACTCAGGGGGGGCAGAGGGGTCCTGGTCTTGTCCCTGGGGCTTGGCCTCCCCCCGTGCCCCCCGGCAGTGCCCCCGGATCTCCCAAAGGCTGAACAAACGCCGTGTCTGTGCCGGGGCCGCGGGGACCCTGCGGGGCTGTCCCTCCCCGGGCAGGACATGTAGATTGATGCACTTTTCGCTTTTTGTACTTTCCCTCCCCTTGGGGCAGCTCCCACACCCTGCGGGCTGGGGGGCTCGGGTGGGACCTCCAGGGCTCCCCTGTCCTGCCGGGACCCCCGCAGCCCCCGGGCAAACTCCTGCACGGGTCTCTGCCTCGGGGGGCTCTGGGGTCCTCTGGGTGCTGGCTCGGGTGCTGCCCCCTCCTTCTATTTTTGTATTCTTTGTAAATCGCTATTTATATCAGATTGCCTTTTCCAGGGGCTCCGGGTCTCATTTTGAGTCTGGTGTGGGGATGGGGGAGGAATGAGGGTCTCTGGAAGGAATGGGGGGGGTCTCAGGAAGGAGTAGGGGGGTCTCTGGGGATGATGGAGGGGATGGGGGGTCTCTGGAAGGAATGGGGGGATCTCTGGGGTGGGGTGTCTATGGGGATTTCTGAGGGGACTGGGCAACTTTTACAGCAGGGGCAGCGGGGCCAGCTCAGCTGTGGGACAGGTGGGTACAGCAGCGGGCACAGGTCCCTGCAGGTGTGTGGGGGTGTATGTGCACAGGGAAATGCCAAACACATGTGCACAGTGTGTGTGCAAATACCGTGCACACAGGGGTGTGCACCTGGCATGCATACACACATGAAGATGTAAACAGACACGTGAACACTCATGAACAGAAAGCCACATAAACACTCATGAACGAACACAGACACACATGAACAGTCATGAACACACACAAGCACACATGTAAACACTCACGAACGAACACACACACCCCCGCAGCTGTTCACGTGTTTTTGGGGACTTCCCGCGCACTCCGAGTCCCCGGGGCGGGGCAATAGAGGGCGTGCCCATGTCAGACCACGCCCACACGAATACATAAATAGTTTTGGGCGCGGTCTCATCAAACCACGCCCCTCAGTGGGCGTGGCTCCCCGCGCGCACCGGGCGCCCGTCGCTGCATGTTGCGGTGCCGCCAGCAGGGGGCGCGCTGCCGGGCGCAGCCGCAGTCGCTGCCGCCGCCGCCGCCGCCGTCCCGGGGCCGCCGGAGCGGCCGCACCGGGCGATGCGATGACAACGTCCACCCTGCAGGTACCGACCGCGGGCACCGGGACGGGGCTGGGGCTCCGGCCGCGCCGACACCGCGCCCCCTTCCCGCGGGGCTCCGCTCGGCCCAGCGGACAGGCCTCACCGGGGCCCGGCGCCGTGCCGGCCGGGAAAAGGCCTCACCCGGCCCCGGTGCCGGGCCCCGCTGAGGTCGCCCGGCCGTGCTGAGCCCCGGTGCCGACGCGGTGGGCAGGGAGGGGGGCGCGGCGGAAGAGCCGCGGTGCGGGCGGGCCCGGCCCGGCCCCTGGCGGCGGGGAGGGCCCCGGCGGGCCCGGTGCTCACGGCGCTCCCCCCGCGCAGAAAGCCATCGACCTGGTCACCAAAGCCACCGAGGAGGACAGGGCCAAGAACTACGAGGAGGCGCTGCGGCTGTACCAGCACGCCGTGGAGTACTTCCTGCACGCCATCAAATGTGAGGCGCGGCGGCGGGGGCGCGGGGGCTGCGCCGCTCGGGGGGCTCCGGTAACGCCCGCGGCTTCCCGCAGATGAGGCTCACAGCGACAAGGCCAAGGAGAGCATCCGAGCCAAGTGCGTGCAGTACCTGGACCGCGCCGAGAAGCTGAAGGAGTACCTGCGGGGCAAGGACCGGCACGGCAAGAGGCCTGTCAGGGAAGCACAGAATGACAACAAGGGGTGCGTGCGGGACGGGGGGCGAGGGATCCCCGGTCTGGCCACGGAGCTGGCAGGACCCCCCTTGCCACACCAGTGCCAGTCCTGCTCCTGAACCCTGTCCCCTGTCCCCAGGAGTGACAGTGACAGCGAGGGCGAGAACCCTGAGAAGAAGAAGTTGCAGGAGCAGCTGATGGGTGAGAGAGGCTGTGATGGGTTTGACTCTGGGGTTAGGAGGGATTCACTGACAGCCCTGTCTGGGGTGGCTGTGGGGAGGGGAACAGGCTGTGGAACTGGGGCCCAGGGGTGCATTCCTGTGGGCTGCTCACCCCAAAAGCTGCTGCGCTGAGGGAAGGCAGGACTGGGGGTGTGGGACTCTGGCTCTCTCTGTGCCCATCTCGGTGGGGCCATGTCAGCAGAGTCACACCCTCACAGGTGCCATCATGATGGAGAAGCCCAACGTGCGGTGGAGCGACGTGGCCGGGCTGGAGGGAGCCAAGGAAGCCCTGAAGGAGGCCGTGATCCTGCCCATCAAGTTCCCACACCTGTTCACAGGTGAGGCCGTGGTGCTGGGAAGGGGCCGTGCAGGAGGTGACCCCTCTGTGGATGACCCCAGCACGGGGCTGACCCCGCTCTGTGCCGCAGGGAAGCGCACGCCCTGGCGCGGGATCCTGCTCTTTGGGCCGCCTGGCACCGGCAAGTCCTACCTGGCCAAGGCCGTGGCCACCGAGGCCAACAACTCCACCTTCTTCTCTGTGTCCTCCTCTGACCTGACATCGAAATGGCTGGGGGAGAGTGAGAAGTAAGTTGGCAGCAGAGACATGGCTGCAGCCTGGCTCCTGGTGCTCCGACAGCCAGGGTAGAGAAGGGGCCACCAGCTCAGGGAACCCCAGTAACGGGGCTGTTAAAGAATTGGGAGCTGGTGCCTTCAGAGAGGGAGTCTGAGCAAAGCAATCCCTGGGCCTCTTCCCTCACAGCCTGTGCCCCCTCATCTTTTCAGACCTCTCAGTCCAACAGTGACTTTAAGCTGGGGTCTTCTAACACTTAACTGGATTCTGTCTCTTTGTCTTAATTAACTGCTCTCATGCTCCTTCTTGGGGGAGCTTTGGGGCCCTCCAGAGTTGCAGCTCTTACCTGAAAGTTTCCCATCTGTCCATGCTCTGAATTCATTTACAGCTCCCTTACAGCAAGCTTTGAGCAGAGCCCACCCCTGCCAAGCTGTGAGCAAGTAATAATTAAAGTTAACTCTACATTATTAATTTCTGATACCCTGTAATTAGATTTACTTTAATCCTCAGCAGGGTCCCAGGGGGGAGCACAGTCCCTTGAAGGGCTGCACAGCCCCTGATGTGGCACTTCCCTTGCTGCCAGCGTGGGGTTCTCAGAATGGGAGGAACGTGGGGCTGCCCTGGTGCTGCTGAGGAGGGTCTCTGAGCGGGGACCCCATCCCCTGCTCTGTTCCCAGGCTGGTGAAGAACCTGTTTGAGCTGGCGAGGCAGCACAAGCCCTCCATCATCTTCATCGATGAGGTGGACTCGCTGTGCGGCTCCCGCAACGAGAACGAGAGCGAGGCAGCGCGGCGCATCAAGACCGAGTTCCTGGTGCAGATGCAGGGTGGGTGCCTGTGCCAGGGATGGGAGGGAGCAGGACAAGGCAGTCAGCACCTGGGGACTCAGAGAATCCCTGGAGATTGTTCTGAGCCGTGTGCCTGCAGGTGTGGGGAACAGCAGCGACGGGATCCTGGTGCTGGGTGCCACCAACATCCCCTGGGTGCTGGACTCGGCCATCAGGAGAAGGTGAGCCCCACACGCAGCCCCCGTGGCAGCCCCCCAGCAGGGCTGGAACCGGGGCTCACCCCTCGCGCCCCCAGGTTCGAGAAGAGGATCTACATCCCCCTGCCCGAGGAGGCGGCGCGGGCGCAGATGTTCCGGCTGCACCTGGGGAACACCCCGCACTCGCTGACGGACGCCAACATCCAGGAGCTGGCCCGCAAGACCGACGGCTACTCGGGGGCCGACATCAGCATCATCGTCAGGGACGCCCTGATGCAGCCCGTGCGCAAGGTGCAGTCGGCCACGCACTTCAAGAAGGTGAGCGGGGGTGGTCCCGGGCAGGGGAGGGCACCGTGGCTGCTGTCCCCACCCCAGCTCTGTGCCACCTGCTGCTGGATCCGTGCAGGTCCGTGGTCCCTCCCGCACCACGCCCGGTGCCATCGTGGATGATCTCCTGACGCCGTGCTCGCCGGGGGACCCTGGGGCCAACGAGATGACCTGGATGGAGGTGCCCGGTGACAAGCTGATGGAGCCTGTTGTCTGCATGGTAAGTGTCCCCTCCGTGGCTTTGGCCTGGCCACTTCCTTGCTCGTCCTCCAGGCTGAGGGCTTGGAGACTCCCAGTCTACCCCCCTGGAGGAGGGCTGGGTGACAGGAAAGGGCCTTGGGTCTGCCAGGCAGCTCCCACCTGTGGTCAGTGCTGCTGCCATGGGGCAAAGGTGCCTCACTGCCATGGGGGTCCCTGTCCCGTGCCCTCGCCCGGTCTGAGCCATGTCCCACCCACCTGTGTTGCAGTCAGACATGCTGCGCTCGCTGGCCACCACCCGCCCCACCGTCAATGCCGAGGATCTCCTCAAAGTGAAGAAATTCACGGAGGACTTTGGACAGGAAGGTTGAGGGGGGGGGCACGGGGGCTGTGGGGCTGGGGCAGCTCAGGCCCCGCTGTGCCCCCTCCCCGGTGCCAAACCGCCCGGTGTTCTCTCACTCCTG